CATGTACAGTACAGTCCCTCACAGCTGATGTGAGCCACACTGATGTACACAGTACACTTGGTATGTGTACTGGTATGTACTTGTATGTATTGGTAAACTTTGTACATGTTTCATTTCTCAAAAACATGTACATGTACAAAACTATGTCTATACCCATTACATGTACATGCATGTGTCTCATTGGTAGGTTGTTGCTCATAATAATGACACATTTAACTTAATTTCTATAGAATCAGTTAAGTACATGTATTGTGAGACTATTCCTGGTCTACATGTACATGTACGTATGATAAACTGGAGAATAAAAAGTGATAGATCCTGAGCAGGTCCTGATAATAATAGCCTAAATTGAAGAAGCCTGTACTCATGAGTGTACATGTACAAACTAACCTGTGAATAATTCTCTGTTTATGTTTTAGCTGCTAATGAGAATACATGTACATGTACATGTAAGTTGTTTTGATAACACCTTGTCACAATCATAATTGAATCCCATTTCAATACAGCATAATGACTTGTATAATTAATATGTGTACAGTCAATAGTTGAGTATTATGTAGAGCTTTTGTATTAATGATACATGTACTTCATTCTACATGCATTCTTCAATCATTCAATGATTTATTTATTAAGTTAATGATGTGTATTGTGTTCTTATTTTTAGTAAAACTTACCTTAAAAGTGTAGCATAGTAGTTTACTGTTATACAGTTGTTTTGCTTGCTGAGTTAGGAGTATCTAATTGTATACAAAAGATTGTAATGTGTATTGCTTAGTTATTTTTAGTATAATTTACCTTAATAGTGTAGCGTAGTGTCCTTTACGGTTATATAGTTGCTTTGCTTCTTGTGTTAGGAGTATCTAGTTATGTATACAAAAGATTGTAATGTGTATTGTGTTCTTACTATTAGTAAAACTTACCTTAATAGTGTAGCATAGTAGTTTACTGTTATATAGTTGCTTTGCTAGTTGTGTTAGGAGTATCTAATTGTATATAAAAGATTGTAATGCGTATTGTGTTCTTATTATTAGTAAAACTTACCTTAAAAGTGTAGCATAGTACTTTACTGTTATACAGTTGCTTTGCTTGTTGTGTTAGGAGTATCTAATTGTATACAAAAGATAGTAATGTGTATTGTTTACTTATTATTAGTAAAACTTACCTTAATAGTGTAGCATAGTGTCCTTTGCTGTCATACATTTGTTTTGCTTGTAGTGTTAGGAGTATCTAATTGTATACAAAAGATTGTAATGTGTATATTAGTAAAACTTAACTTANAAGTGTAGCATAGTAGTTTACTGTTATACAGTTGTTTTGCTTGTAGTGTTAGGAGTATCTAATTGTATA